GAATGTCTGGTGTGTTCCTTGTCGAGTTGTAAGTAGAGCTGGAGAGTGCCAACCTTATGTTATTTTTTGCTTAGTTAACTATCTTGTGGCCTACCTCGTATGCAGAGGCATAACACATTTCGAGCAATACAATGCTCAAAAGGAAATATTGTGGTTGTCGAGAAACTTGTAGATTCAAGTTTTTTTCCTCCGATAATGACAATTTCAAAGAAGTCATGCCTAAAAAAATTGTGATCGGTTCAAAAGTTCCATAAATGGTAGACTTGAAGGCCGACGGCACTTTGCCAATTAGCGCATGAGGTATGGACTTTGTGGTGATATGGTTGTCCAATGATGCATTGAGGAGGATATGTTTTGATTAGTGGACGATATTGCCCTTTCGAGTTTGCTTGTGCCATGTTGGACAGAATTAAAAATGGTAGATCATGTTTGTCGCAGTTGTCAAGTTGATGGTAGAATAGAGCGTAAAACCAGGGACCCAAGTTCACCCATTGTCTACATTAGAAGACTGAACTGCCAAAAAATTAATAACACGGACCCAATTGCAACTGCGTCAATGTTTACGGACTTCAACTGTGAGTTCCCCGAACCCCCCACTCGCCCCACTACAAAACTACTATAAAACCTAAAGAAGAAAATTATTCCGCCTCAATCCCTTGTCAAACGTCAAATCTTATTTCTCACCAAATCAGCTAAACATTATTTGTTGTTCCGTTTTGTTTACACTCAAATCGGGTAAAAGTAGCATTTTTTATTTCACGAATTTTGTTTTTTCTTCTCAAGGAATTATTGTTTTCAGTTCTTCACATGATTTTGTTCCAGTTATTTTTCAGGCCTAAAAGCAAACTTCATTATTGCAGAATTGCAGTTGCTGGTTGTTTTGAAAACCAATCAGGTACTAGTTCATTCTTCTTTGCAGTTTAGAGCTCAACGGAAGAAAAAATATAATTACTGCATAATTTGTATGTTACTGGCGGTGTGGGTAGGCGTAGTAGAAAATTTGCAGCCTTTCAATCTTCTTATAATAGGTTTTGTGTCAATTTCAGGTTTATTTTATTTGCTTGTAACGTGATTCATCATTTTGATTTTTCAGAATTCTAGCTGCGTATACAGATTTTATTATATTATTATAAATGCCATTAGTATTTATATTCTTTAGCTTCTATCTCCATCTGACTTCTTAGTTCTTTATTTCGTATGGGTTGCATAATGGTTCTCAAATTTTGTCAAACTTATTGGATACCGTGATGCAATTTCTACTGAACCTGACCAAACCGAACGATTTTAGTGCATTTAGGTTCTTGTTGTACTCATGGAATCAGTTCCACGTGTAGAATTCCTATTTGAAACTACTCCAGTCCGGTTGCAAAGAAACCATACATAACTGGTATTTGTCCACTCCTAGTATTTATTAGCACTCCTGAAATTTTTTACCTATTGAACTTGTCAGCATGAGTGTGGGCTTATATCCCTGTTTGTTGGGCTTATAAGTAATTGAAAAGCAGTTTTATTTATTTATTTATTTGAGTTATTAAGAACGTCAACAGCTAGGGTGGGGGTTTGTTATCCTTAGCTGCGTCCTAAACTATAAATCACATTGTTATATGTTATGAACTAAATCCTAAATAGGGTTTTTAATCTGCAGATTAGCTTTGAAAAGTTGGAGGAGCCATTGATATGGAGGCAACTAAATCTTCGCTCCAGAGTGAAAAATTAAACAGGTAAACTAATGTCTATCAATTTGTTTTACATTTTTTTGATTCAGATTCTTTTTCTCCTTTTTTAACACGAATTATAATTTTTGTTCAGAGAAACTCCGCAATTGGTTGCTGTGTTAAAAGAAATGAAGGAAGGTTTGGATACTGTGAGGACTAAAGTTCAGGCTTTGACAGCTAAGGTATTAATGATTGCCAATAGAACCTATTGTCATAAGGCCAATGAAACTTTCTTTATGTATAGAAAATGCAAGCTATATTCTCAAACGGGCTCTTGGTTAAAGCTCAGCTTTGGACCATTATCATTGAAAAGAATTTAATTAGTTCATGATTTATCTAGTGGATGGAAGTAGTGCCATAATTAAGTTGAGAATTTTTAAATTATGAAAACAGTGAAATATGGGATCAGATTGCAATAGTAAAGCTGCCATGTGCTTTTTCATTTTTTCTGTTGATCAGACTGTATTTTTAATCTCCCCATCCTGCTTGTATTGTTCTTGTTGCTGGATACTAGATTACTGATAGCTTGGGCTTTGAAATCTGTAGAAATTAGATTGACTGAAACTCATATCATTAAACAAACATTCTTGATATGCTTACCACGAGTTAGCAGTAGCACTCTATTTCACTTTGACCAATGGAAGGGCTGTCACCTTTCGTCACACTTTTGATTAGTCTTGGACCTCTTGGTTCTTTACTTTTTCTCCAACCGGACGCGCAGTGGAGTGGGGGAGGAGAAGGAAACTAAAGGATATCTAGATTCTGTATTTTATGTAAAAAAGAGGGCTTTCACTGGACTTGGGAGGAAACAGTTCTCTCATCCCTCTAGGTTGGCAGTTTCTAATCCTTTTTCATTCTGTTTGATTTTGCTCAATTTTCTAAAACTTGGGAGTCAACAGTTTATTTTGAAAGTAGAAGAGTGGCTTAATAAAGCGAATTATTGATCTCTTCTTGGTTGCAATTTGCTTGGAAGAAGTGGAGTTACAACAAAGAATTAAGAGTGAGTAAGAAAATATTTGTTTTCAGCTGTGAAATATAGGAAGCAAAGTCTTCTTTATTTCATTCTGAAACGAATTGACCGTGCGTGTATTATATTATTTGAAGTCCTATAATCCATGAACGTTGACTGTTTATTCCTTAAGTATCCACTTCTATGAGCGTCATTTCTCATTGTTAATTTTCATGATATTGTCAGGCTGAAATGTTGATCTTATTCATTCTTATTGAATTGTAAAAGCAACACTTGACAGGGAAAAGTCATGAGAAGTTTTTGATTTCTTTCGTCTTTTTGTCTGCAGGTGAAAGCAGAAAATTTCCGCACTGCAGATGGAATAAGCTATCTCGAGGCCAAACATTTGCTGCTTCTTAATTATTGTCAGTCACTTGTCTACTATTTACTTCGCAAGGCAAAAGGGTTATCGATTCAGGGACATCCTGTAGTTCAGAGCCTTGTTGAGATAAGATTATTCTTAGAGAAGGTATATCCTCTTGCAACCTCCCCTTCGCCCCTGCTCCCAACCCCTGAAATAGAAGAAATATACAATTATCTCACACCCCCACCACCACCCCCATGCCCAACAAGAAGAAAGATAATTACAGAAAAAAAAAAGATCAAAACACCTGGTGTAACCAAGTTTGCCTGAATGTGCGCATGCTTTCCTATATAGCCATTTCTTATTCAGTGAGAAAAGTAGAAGATGGATAAGATTTATTGAACGCCATAATTTTTCGGTGGATATACATTTTCTACATTGCCTTGCTTTTTGCAGATTCAACCTATTAACACAATTCATTTTTATCACCTGGTTGTATGCAGATTCGCCCTATTGACAAAAAGCTTCAATACCAAATTCAAAAGCTAATGAAAGTTACAACCAACCAAATGGAAAAATCAGGTTCTACTGAGGAAGTAGCTGATACAACTCAGAAGACTGAGGACTTGTTGAAATATCGCCCAAATCCAGACTTGCTCGTTAGCAAAATTGACAATGCTTCAGAGGTAAGTCAGTCATACATAAAAAAAAAAATTTGGTTTATGATATAATGCTGAAATGGAAACTGATTATTTTTATTATCAAAATTTTCATCAGAGTGAAGAAGTTCAATATTTAAGTGTTGCTTGCTTAGTATCTGCTTGATTTTGTTCCTTGATTGTATGCAAAATGACTAGATGAAAGTTTTTATCAACTGCAAACTTTTATTTTTTCCTCAAGTCCACGCAATGCTTACAGGACGGTGATGGTGTGTATCGGCCGCCAAAATTGGCTCCTGCTGCTATGGAGGAAGATAAGATGTCAAGACAGGAGAGAAATGCTTTGAGAAAAGAGAGAGAAAATATGCGACAAGCGAAGCAGAGTACTTATGTAAGAGAATTGATGAATGATCTGGAAGGAAGACCTGAAGAGGTGCGGAGATTTAGCAATTTGTGGAATATACAGTATTTAAATGATCATCTCTTAATTATGATTTTTTTGATCATGGAAAAGTACAGATAACAGAGTCTGTAGGACCTGCAAGTAGAGAACTGACGAAGTATATGGAAAAGATGGAAGAACGCGCACGACAAGAGGAGGAACAGTTCACGCGTGCTCCTCTTACAAAAACGGAGAAACAGACTATGAAACATTTGAAGAAGTCTAGAAATGGGTAAGCTCAATGGTGCATTATAGCCCATCTATTTTTTATTTTCCTTGATGAAATATGTTGTATGAGTTATGTTGCAATATGATATGGTTGAATGAGTTATGGTTGCTTTCTCTTCACACATTATGCCAGGTTACTAGGTCTGACAGAGAGTTTCTACGATGAAATTAAAAGTTTACCTTTAGGCGACAACTTTAATAAGGAATTGACCACCTTTGATGGTGGTAGCAGTGGAGATAGAAAACTGAAGAAACGCAAGGTATATACTGAAATTAATACATTTTTAACCATCTAGTTATGCATTTTAAAGCTTTGTTTAATGCCTGTACTGTTATCTTCAATTGTAGCTTCCTTCTATAGTGAACTAAGTGCATGTTTGGCTAAGGCTATAAAAAAAAAAGTAAAAGTACTTTTTTGTAAAGTTAGTAAAGATTTACACTTTTAAAAAGTAAGTGTTCCAACTAAAAATCTCAAAAAACGTAACTTTTTTTAAAAAAGCTCAAAATATCTTTGGCAAAAAAAGTTATTTTAACTAACTTTTAAGCTTAACCGAACAGGCAGCGTGCATCTATGTCCAAATTTGCATTTCTTGGACTTCGATAACAATATCTCAGGGCATATAAACGGTTGTATGAAGGGATGTTGCACGCAACATACTACCATAATCATTTGATTTCCCAGCATAATTATTGACACATCTTATCTACCTTGAAGTTTAACCTTTCTAGTTATAGCCTTGTTAACTCAATATTGAGATTTAGAGCCAAATTCCACCTTACTCAAGCCATAAGCAGCTGGGCCAATATGGTAACTTTAAGAATAAAGC